TGGTAAACCTAAACCATTATCTTTTTTTTTATAATATAATTTTTTATTATGTTATGTTAGTCACCATATAGCACATCATTAGTTTTTGATGTAGTGTTCCATGATTCATTGTTTGTGTATAACACCCAGTGCTCCACGCAATACGTGCCCTTCTTAATACAACATTTTTAAAAGAATGGTTTCTGGTGCTGGTTATTAAGGAGGGCACGTATTGCATGGAGCACTTTGTGTATTTTGGATTTTATGTTGTTCTTGGTGTTTTGTTGTGTTTTGAATTAAAGTCACTGTCTGTTTTGCCTTGTATTTTGAGAATACTTGACACAGTGTTAACATTAGTTTCAGGTGTGCAACATAGTGGTTCAGCAACTCTATATATTATGCTATGCTCACCACAAGTGTGGCTACCATCTGTCACTGTCTTTTAAGAAGAAGGTAACAAATGGGCAAGTAAAATCTGGGGAAAAAAATGTCTGTGCTCAAGGAGAAATTTCTCAGACTCTTATAAACGGGGTGTGTAAAAGATAGACAGCTATTCATCTGATAGCTATCAAAATGTTAATAACAATAATGCAAACCTACAATTATGGATGGTGCTTTTCTAACCCAAGTCACAGAATCAGCTCAGACAATGTGTTGGCAAAGATGTGGTCCTTCAACCACCCTAGAAATAACTGATAAACTCACTCAGCTTGAGACAGCTGGGCTAATAAATCTGTAATTTGCTGATGATGTTTATCTCCCAGAAATTAGGAAAAGGCCATGATTCTGCATCCAATTCTGGCCAACAAGGAGGAATTGAGTAATAAAGTAGAAACCATCAGAACTTTAGGGGAAAATACCCATGCCACCTAAGGATTCATATCTTAAGAATGAAAATCCTGAGCATGATCAGCCATGTACCTTAGACTTGAGGTGAATAAATCAAAAAATATTCAGAGAAAAGATTCTTCCAAAGGAAGATGGCTCAAGAAGAATGGGAGGCTCAGAAAGAACTCTGACAAATGTAATATTCCATAGCTACTCAGAATTCAGGGAACCTGAATTCTGAACTTTGGAACTAGTTGTGTGAACATGGGAAAGTTATTGAAATTCTCCCAGCCTCTACTTCATGATTTGCAAAATGGGAATGACCTTACCCATCTGACAGGTTTATGGTAAATGGGCCTAATACTTGTAAAATGTTCAGCACAATGCCAGACACTTAATAAAGTTTCATTAAATTGTACGTATTATTATTTATCTCACTGGCATCCCTAGCCTCAGAGGTGTAATTATTATTTCCTGTTTACCACCAGCTTAGAAATTTTGATTTCTTTTTCTGACTGGGAAGAGAGGGGGCCTGTGGTAGAGAAGCTTCATACTCTCTAGTGAAGGAGAGCAGAACATACAGGACCTGCAGTCAGATGCTTACTCTACAACTTTAGAGGTGTTTGCAGGTTGTGCCCTGAAAGGCAACTGTGGACCAAAGAAAGTATAGTCTCTGTGTGCTGGCCCTGGACCCAAAGGTGCCCAGAGGGGGACACCTTTCTTTTATTTACATGGAAACTCTTCTCCAAGCTTCCATCCTCCTCATAAAAGGTGAATAATGATAGTCTTTCCTGTAGGATGATTAATTCATTCACTCACGTAGTCAGCCATTCTAAAACCCTTGTTAAGAGTCCAACCTAATGATTATGAGTACAGGTTTGGGAATGAAACAGGCCTGGCTTGTATCTGAGCTCTACCACTTACAAAGAATGTCTTGAGGGGAGGCTGCTGAAGCTTTTGGAGCCTCAGCTCCTTTATCTGGAAAGTGGGGATAATAATACCTTCATCTTAGCCTTGTGAAAGTCAATAATGCCTATGGTGCTTGGCATAGATTAAATACAGAAAAAATGGCAGTGTTTGTGCTTTATTGTTACTTAGTTCTACTGAGATGTGTTGTAATCTTCTCCAAAGATAAGACAAGACAAATAAGTCCATAAAACAAAATGGGTACATCAGCTCCTGTTATTGCACATATGCATTATCTTACTGTTTTCCAACTATATGATTTAAAACTAATGACACGATGGGGCACCTGGATAGTACAGTCGGTTGAGCATCTGACTCTTGGTTTTGGCTCATGTTGTGATCTTAAGATCATGGGATCCAGTCCCATGTTGGGCTCCACGCTCAGTGAGGAGTCTGCTTAGGACTCTCTCTTCCTCTCCCTCTGCCCTTCCCCACCCCCAAAAATGGATTAAAAAAATCTTTAAAAAAAAAAAAGAAACTAATGACACGGTGCTAATAATTACAGTCTAGGCCTAGTCTTCTCACCTGAAAAGAGCTTACGGGAAAAGTCCAAGTAGGATTGATTATATAATTAACAATATACCTATATGATGGGCTATTTTGCAATTATTGAAATGAGGCTTACAAAGCATTGAGGGCAGGACATGAAACACTACTTGGCCACAAGTTTTATGTAAAGCAACAGTAGGAAAGGAACAAATGCAATCTTGTGATGCATGCACATGAGCAGCATGTCCAGAACAAAGAAAGCAAGTTAATTATCTTCCTTATCTCTGGACAGTCACACTCTAAGAAGGACGCTGAGAAACTCGAGTTCTTTCTTGTGTGGGTCAAAGGTCAATTTGACAGGGAAGGGATGACAAAAACGTAGAGGAAATATAGAAAAGTCCATTTCAGCTATTTAGAGGACTACCATGTGAAAGACAGAAGCATTGTGTGCAACTCCAAAAGGGTGGTATGGAGCCAAGGGAGGTGAGAGTAGGGCAGGAGAAGGAGAGGATGTGCATAGAGGTGGAGTGAAAATGGGATTCATGCCAGGATTAAACACCCAGCCAGAATGGGCATTCCAGCTTAGCCACTTCCTTGGCTTAGCATAATATTGGCACATACTATGTGCTCAGTTAGCATCAGTGACTATCATGGCATGAAGAGGAGAGGATGGAGAGGAAAGGTAGAGAAGAGAGAGGGTCTTAGAGAGCTGAGCCATGTCTTCCTCTTCTTCCATGACACATAGTGACACTGCCCTAGCACAGCGTCCCTCCCCACCCTCAACCACCACAAAACCATTTCTAAGCTATTGACAAAAAGAAAGTAATAATCAGTAACCATAGTTGCATCTTCTCTGGTCAGTATTTCTTAAATAATCTGGTTCTCACTGAAACAATGGTTCCTGTAGAAAAATAGACAGAGAAGTAGAAAGAGAGGGGTGCTGAGGTGCTCACAGGTAAAGACAGGCCGTGAGGAGAGGCTTTCTTTCTGAAAGGCCAGCCTGGCAGCTAAGTAAAGGCTGAACAGCCCACTGTTCCAGGACTCTGCATGACTGCTCAAAGTAAAATGAAATTTCAATGGCTTACCTTTCTTCTACACTCTTACCTTAATCCATCAGAATGTTTTCCATCTTAATCTGCTCCTACACAAGCAGAATATGATTTTTCACTATGGACAATCTCAAAATACTTTAATCACCTTCTTAATCATTGAATGGCTCTCTTCCTGGTTCGGGGAACTAAGTTTTAGACTTGCAGAATGTGACAGTTAAGAAACACGTTTGAAATCATATAGTGTAGCACATCATTGACTCTAGAGATCCTTAGGTGAAGGAAGTCTAAAGAGTCGATATTGTACCCCTCTAATTAATGGTATTCATTATATAAACACCTTCTAATAAGTAGGCTTCTATGTAATTCATTGATGTATCTAAAGTTGCTTTACACTTTGAAGATGGAGGATTCATTATATTCACTAAGTCAGAGCTCATACCACATTAGGCATTGGAATATATGAAGAAAATCTATGAATTGCTGTATTGAAGAGAATGTAGGTAGTAAGTTCTTAGCACTAGAAGTATACATACAAGAAAGATGGCTACTATGTATTGAGAATTTACCATATGCCAACTGGACTCTAGTTTATTCACTTAATCCCTACAATAACTTTATGAATTGGTTGGCTATTATCATCACCCTTATATTAGAGAAAATGGAAGTACAAACAGGTCAAGAGGCTTGTCCACAATTACACAGATATTAAGTAGAAACCAGAATTTAGATGTAGGAATGCCACTCCAAGGTTCACTTTCTTAGTGAAGACTATGGAACACCCAGTGCTTTAGAGTCATGTGTAAGACTTCCATGTGTTCAAGTTACGATCTTGGTCATATTTCCTCATTTTTAATCACTCCTGTCCCCAAAGCCACACTAGCAGAAAGTCTAGCATCTACCTCTTGGAGAATTCTCCTTCCCCAAAAACTGTTTAAATCCCTGGGATAGAAGAAAACATCTCTTACTTCCAAATATAAGCAGGTTATAAGAACCACCAGTGCTTCTCATAGACTCTATGAGGTGCTACTTAACATGGAGCTGACATGGGAAAAAACACAGTTGGTTACCTCTATTCTGTGCCTGGCTGTTACAAGCCCTTGCAGAGATTGTCTTAGCATTTTTTTAGAAAAAGTGACAAGACCCCTTCTGTGCCAAACTGTGCCAAGAGTTTACTACTTTAGACAACCCAGACCTCGGAGCTGTGCTCCCACGCTCTCTTGTGCACTTGTCCTACACTACCATTGTCAACTTTAATCTGTCCTTGTTTAGAAATAATGTAATTCAAAGGCCTCATTCCTCTTGGCTTTGGCCAAGAACCAAGAGGGAGATTTGATGGGAGATGGGATTTTCATAGCTAGTCGTGTTTATTCCCTGCCTCAGATAGTGTGAGCAACTTCCACCAAGCCTGATGTTGGGCTTTAAAGAGTTACCATGGCTCATTAACTCAAGCCAACTACTTCTTCTGGTGCTCAACAAAATAAAGAGTGATCTCTTTCAATGCTCAGGAATGTCCTGGCTGTGTTGGGCTTGCCTAGTGAAGCAGTGCATTAAGTAGGTGGATCTCCAGCATGAGGCTTTCATAGAGGATTTCCAAGGGTAATTTTGATTATTCAACTTGAAACATCCACCTGGAGTTAGAAGAAATCCTCTGTAACAGAGTCTACTGATTCCCAAGATGGGTGCAGGATGAGGTAAGGAAGGGGACTATTCTGTAGGTAAGTGTGTGTCTCCTAAGCGTCTAGCAATTCTCTTTGATTTACAGGATGTTTTCAGAGCCACGCACCTGAAGCCTGACATTGTAAGATTGTACCTTAAGCCACTGCTCATCGGAGAGCTTGCCCCGGGAGAGCCCAGCCAGGAAAGAAACAAAAATGTGAGTGAGGTCTTGGGACCCAGGAGCATGTGGAGGGATGGGGGCAAGAGCCAGTTGACTCTTTCCTGATATATCCAAGAACTGATCATTTTCCATAAGGTACCAGCCATCATGCCTGGGTGAGCCTGCCATAACATGAATGAGTTGATTCTGCATATTTCAAAACAATGTCATCCTCCTTAGACCCTCAGAACACTTAAATTTTTGTGTAAGAAAGGAATGAAATTTTTGGTCCTGCACCAAACAGTAATTCCATGTCTCTAAGTACCTACTTCATGCCAGGCAATGTATACATACAGTTTTTTTTCAGTGGCTGCTTGTAACTGTTTGATGTCTGTGTCTGTTTCCTGCTAAAGTAAGTTCCATGAGAGCAGGGAATATGTGTATTCTGCTTATCCCTGTGTCCTCAAGAACCCATCTGCACAGGATCAGACATGTAGTAGAGACTCCATAAATAGCTATTGAATGAAAGATGTGAATATATCCTAACAACAGCCCCTTTTAAATTTGGTGAAATTATAGTCCAGGGAGAATAAATTACTTTCTGGAAGTCCCACGGTTGGTGGGTCAAAGAATTGGGACTCCAAGTCACTTCTCTGGTCCCAGTCCCTTAGGTATTCCCAAGGAAGGGTGTCACTCTTTCTTTCTCTAATACTTTGGCTACCTAAAATACTGTCTTCCAAAGGACAGGGTCTCTGTAAGATGAAACATTCACTAGGATGATTTTACATAAAGCTTAAAGGGATTTTAACTAATACTGAGCATTTTTTCTTTTTTTTTTTTTTATAATTTGTTTCATTAAAACAGTTTACATTCTTCAGAAATAATTTGTACCAAGTGTTGATCCATATGTCACTGTGAGGAAGATAGAATAAGGATTATGTTTCTGCTTTAAGAAATGAGAGGACAAACTTGCCAAGGAATAGCAGAATCTGAGGACAAAGAACTGGTTTGGGACAGACCTCAGACACTTATTCTCACCCCTCAGGTCCACGTGCATCCCGCACAGCTATGTGTCAGTACGCACAACCCTGCATTTGACAGCAAGGGCTCTGAGGCTGCACATTTGAACTCACACCCCAGCCCTGCCATAGGCTGTATGGGTTCAGGCCAGTTACTAAACCTCTCCATGACTCAGTTTCTCTCTCTCTGTAAAATAGCAACAGCAGTAACACCAACCTCCTAGGAGATATTGGGGGATTATGGAAAGAATTAAAGGCATTTTAAGTTAGCACAGTGTCTGGAACATAGTAAATGCTCGATAAATTTTAGATACTATCATTATCATGAACTCAGTGGTGACACCAGCAATTGACAAACCTCCAGATATGTCCCCATCATTTAGAGAAGGAGGCTCTCGGTTTAAAAACAGAAAGTGATGCAGAGCTTAATTGTTTTTCCTAAAATTTTCTCAATGGAAAAGAAAGTCCACTAATGGTTGAGAGCTGTAAGACAACCATTCATTATCTAAAAGAGTATTGGTCTCTGGGGGAAAAGGTCTGCTGTAAATTTTCTTTAGTACATCTATATGGATACACAGATATACATATTCGTGTGTGTGTAAAATAACACATATATACTCAGATACATGCATACAGACAATTAGTTTGAGCACAACACTTGGGTCAGGTAGCATAAGTTGAAGCCCTGCATCTGTCACTGACTTGCTGATTTCAGAGCAGTCACTCTTTTGGGCTTGCTGACCTCCTACTCTGTACAATAAATGGTTTGGAAAAGATGACCAGGATGGAAGGCACTCTAAGAGATGGCCTCTTAAGATTATCCATGGCTACCAGAATTCCGAAGTTGATGGCGGCTTGAGAAATGAACCTAGGCAGCAGATCTTTTAAAAGTTGAATCAGTGAATTTTGAAATGAAAATCTTTGCTTCTAGAATTGTTCATAGCTTTTTCTTTTGATACTGCAAATGTCTCTCCTTTGGTGTATCTGAACCATCCTGCTCTCTTTCTTATACCCTGGTCACTGTGTCAACTGTCCTGGTTTCAAACCCATTAGTCGTTAAGCTAAAAGATATCTCTTCCCAGACCTTGCACTGATTCTCCAGTCTGATTGGCAAGCTGGTAAACCAATACTAGCCTTGTACATACACACACATGCACGTACACCTGTTACACAGACATAGAACCAGGACCCCCATACAGGGCAACAGACACACACTAACACCACCAGAGATCCTGCCTTGTTTCTGGGGCTCCATCAAGCAGCTCACAGGAAAGTCATCCTTTGAGCTAATCTAAGTGAACTGTATTTTGATGTCATCATCTTTAATGAAAGAGCCCTTCACACATACTAAACTGCTGATGACATAGAAAACGCTGTGTAAACCGTACCCCTAAGTATGAGGTACCCATATAGACAATAGCATAATCAGAGGTCAATCAACACCTGAAACAATACTGATGGTTTAAAAGGCAACTGTTAGGGGCGCCGGGGTGGCTCAGTCAGTTAAGCATCTGCCTGCAGCTCATGTTATGATCCCAGAGTCCCTGGATTGGGATTGAGCCCCACATTAGTCTCCCTGCTCAGCGGAGAATCTGCTTCTCCCTCTCCCTCTGCCCCTCCCCCTGCTCATGCACTCTCTCTCTCTCAAATAAATAAAATCTTAAATAAAAATAAAAAATAAATAAATAAAAGGCA